ATTGAAAACAAAGAACCTTCACCAGAATCCAATCAAGCAATCAGTTCAGGTAAACAATCTCCATACCACATTCCACATGGGGAAAACAAAGGAGCAGACATAAAGGTTGTGTTCTCTTCTTCTCTCTGTGCTTCTCCTGAGAGACAGAATGATGTCTCTCTGTCCAGAGAATATGAATGTCATAGAAAGCTGTGGAGGAAGCCATGTTTTGGCAGAGAAGACACTCACTCCATGAATATGTGGAACTCTGAAAAGAAACCCTGCCTCAGGCAGAATAGACTGTATGAGAACTGCTTGGACAGGACAGTCAGTGTGAACATAGGAGACCCTATGCTGTCCTGGGCTTGGCACTGTCCTTTTGACTGTGGCTATCTTAGACCAAATCTTGGTATTGAAATAAAAATCTATTTTATTAATTATTAATTTGGCTTGATCATTTTTACCTATAACACCCTTGGCATGCCTTTTGCTGCTGCAATGTGCCTGGAGCTCTGGGTTTTGTGGTATTCAAAACCCTAACCCTAGGTGGAACCCTAACCTTAGGTAGAGCAGTAAAAAAGCTTTGGATAAGGCTGGTTCAAAGGAGAAAGCTGTGGAGGAAGCCACGTTTTGGCAGTTCTGTGTTCCCTTTGGCATGCCTTTTGCAGCTGCAGTGTGCCTGGAGCTCTGGGCTTTGTGGTTTTCAAAACCCTAACCCTTTTCCTCCTTCATGCAATTTAATTCCATTACATCTTACCCTACCTACCGAGAATCGATGGTTCCCCTTCTCTTTGCAATGGCTTTTTAAGTATATGAAGAGTCTTAGCATGTCTGTCTTCTGCCTTCTTTTCTCTATCCTTAGCAACTCCAGCTTCCTCCGCCTTCTCAGTCCTCTGTCCACCCTGTATTGACTCCTGTTGGCTCATATAGTTATTGAGCTGTGGTGCACAAAATTAGTCCTCCCATTGATGTCCTACCAATATTGCATAGAGCCCACAGATTTCTCCCCATATCTATATCTTTCCAGAATGTTTACTGTTTTTGCCAGGAAAACACATTGCTGAATCATACTCGGCTTGTGACTTATCATAGACTCCAGATTCCTTTCCAGAAGATTACTTTTTCACCCCTTGTTCATTTCCTGAATTTGTGAAATTTTTTATACCTGTCTCAGCTCACTGCTTTTGTTCCCCCACCCTGTGTCTTTTGTTTTCTAGACCAGTTTTCTGCATGTCAAGATCCTAAACCCCTCTTCCAGCATGCCTCTAATTCCTCAAAAAACTGAACTGGATTTAGATAACTACAGGATGCTAGCTGGTACGCCCATTTTGACAGTAGCTATTGATACCTACTCGATAGGCAAGGTTATCTATCTAGTTAAGACCCAGCTCCATAACAGCTGCATACAGGCTACATACCCGTAGCTTTGTATCAGATGCCAAAGTGCAATACCAAACAATGAAACACTACATTTTTGCATGACTCAGTTGCTGTGGCAACATAAATTAACAAAATGTACATTGTTGTAGCAGCTTTGTTATATAAGTACGTAGGCTTTTCCACACAAATAATGGCAGAAGCAGCACGAGATTCTCTGATGAAAAATATCTGAATAAAATGTGATGGCTAAAAAAGGTAAAAAAATGCCAGGTGAAGGCTTAACAAAGAGCTGACATCTGGATATTTCAAGGATGTCAGTTTGGAATCAGGGACCATAAATTGTGGTTACATGGAAGGAAAGCGTACGTGTCTACCTGCCAAAGGTAGACACAACCAGTGTCAAACAACCATTGCAGAAAGCCAACAAGAAATACACTTAGTTCAGGATCTTCAAGTAAAGCAGCAGTTCTTTAAGAAGACAAAATCAACAAGCACTGATACTGATGACATTATGCTGAAATCAGTTATCTGCTCTGGCATATATGATGGTCTCAAGCACAAGGTGGATCAAGAGAGTTTAGGGGGTACCTTAGAAGCAAGTTGTTGTGGATAGAAGAACAAAACACAGGCTTCCCAAGCCAAGAGGGTGAGAAGTAGGTTCAATGAAGTAGGTTCAATTAGATGGGCTGGCCAGGGCATTGGACAACCAAAGGAATGAAAGAGTCATTCCCTGTCTGAGGCAGAAAATATTCAAGTAATGCAAAACAGCTAAAGTGCACAACATAATTGAGAAGGTACAGAAATTCTGAAAATATGAATGTGCATTTCTTACACTAAAAAGAGAGACAACTCATGTAGAGCTGTTAATGAAAGTTTGACTTGACAGAGATTGATAAAGAAGACAAGGGAAATCAGAGTTAACACATACAGGAGATCAGTTTTACAGAAAAAGTATTGTTTATAAACTTTTGCTGTTCTATATTATGTAGTTATGCCAATACAGATTCTGGAAACAAAGGATGTTCTGGTTTCTAAAGAGGGCAGCTGCTCCTGCTTTCTCTTTTTTTGCTTTTAAATACTGATCAATCCTGCAAGTACATTCTCATTTATTAACAACTTTTTCTTTCATTAGCTGACTAGGAAAGTGGTGTGAAAGTCCCAAAGAAGCGATGGAAATCCTGAGCTTCAGCAAAACCTGAAGAACAGTGATGTAGGAATGAGTGGGGACATACAATGGGGAAGAAAGAAAGAGATGCGGGAAGTTCTGAAGGCATATAAATCCCCAGCCTTTGACTGTCCTACTCCGAGAAAGTCCTTAAACACAACCCCTCCTTCGAAAGTACTATTACAATATCGTGGGTGTGTGGTCACAGAACAGAAAAATCCTGGTTTCTGACTCCCAAGTCAGAATCCTGTTTCTGTTTTAATTGAGAAATAAGTTGTTTCCTAAGGCAATAAGAGGAAATGAGGTTTTACCAACGAGCAGTGCAGTGACATCAAGAAGCTCTCTTCATTTTGAATAGCCCTCCCAATTTGAGCAAACGTAACTCATGCCTATGAGTGGCATGTTTTAATCACTCACAATGTACTGTAGGCTTATAGAATCACAAGATCTTCTAAACAGATGAGGTCAAAAAAAACCACTTTAGACAAACTCAGGATGAGCTATAGTATACTAAAAAAGAAGTTAATGTGAAATTCTCATGATTTTAAGTAGTTTCAAATTCAATTACATATTGCTCTGTTCTCTCTTATTCTGATAATTGAGAATCATTTTCTCCAGCATTGCAGTGCTTTTAACTGACTCATATGCTTCTCAATCACCAGCAAAGGCTTCCATAATAAGCAGCAAAGTAGCACTACAAGTGTCTCATTCTTTTGTTTTGCTTTGACCAATTTCCCCTATTAAATTAATATTCATAATCACATTTGGACACCACTCTGGCTCTGAAACAGCATCAGCATATGAGACTGAGGGAACAAGCACTTTAATTTCTTAAGTAGAGGCCTCAAATTCCTTCCATACAGCTAAGCAAGGGAGAGAGGTGGCTTTTGCATCATGAACTGAACTCTCTAAATTTATGCCTAGGATGAAGGTGAAATCTACTGAGAAATTCAACACTTTGTCATGAATGACTCAAACGAACAAAATCATTACGTCATTCTACAGGTTATGTCAGCTCTAAAAGAGGTTTGTGGAAACATAGAAGAAAGCAACAGCCCTGTGCCTTCGCAGTCTTTTGTTGAGGCAAATCTATCACATTTTATTGAAAAGCATAATCCCTTCAAAGTGGCACGTTGGGCTCACATTTCTGTGTAGAATTTGTGTAAATTGGATGCAATTTTTTTTTAAATTGGCTCATTTTCTGGTGAGTACCAAAAGGTTTTTATAAATTCCACTAGTAGAATAGCAGTGGGTGACAATTATACACACACACACAGACAGACACATTTGCAGCCTGTGAGTAGCAATGGCAGTATGTCTTATCTTGTATACGATATGCTCCATCAGCTGCAAGCTGTAATCACACCACCAGACTTTCATTCATATCTTCTAAGCAGCTTCCTGGCGCTCAGCCGCCTCGGCATAAGCACAGAAGGCTGGGTGGGATGGTGAGAGGTAGATTACTTCAACTGCATAAAAGTAACTGCGGGGTGGGAGGAAATACCTCGTAATTAGAACACGGGACGGAAATTAAGGTCTCTACCAACTCTGTCACAAAGGGAGTTCGTGATCCTTGGCGGAAAGCTTTCCGACCGCCCTCTCTCCACCTGCACAGCCGGGGCGGCGGGGCACAGGGACACTTGCACAGCGAGCGCCCGTGAGCGCCCGGCGGCTTTCTCCGATGGCGGCAGGACCCGCGCCGGGCCGGAGGATCAGCTGCCCAGGCCGCGCCGCCCGGGCCCGCCCCGCCGGCCCCAGCCGGTAACGTAGCGGCGATCAGGGAGGGGGGCACCGCGGCAACCTTCGGGAATTCACGGCGGGGGGGGTGAGCCCTGTCCCTTGTCTGCCCGCCACCCACCGAGGTCCGGCCGGGCGGTTCCCCCGCCGGGTTTCGCGGCACCGTGTGCCCCCGGTCCGTCCACCCCGGCCGTGCCCGGCGAGGGGCGGCGAGGGGCGGCCCGCAGCACCGCGGGGATGCGGGCGAGGTGAAAGCGACCTTGCGGCCGCTCCTGCCGCCCGCAGCGGCGCCTGCCGGCGGGCCGCAGGTGGGTGGCGGCTGCGGGACCGCGGGGCTCGGCGGCCCCGGGCGGGCCCCGGCGATGGCGGCGAGGGAGCGCCGGGCCGAGGCTGCCGCGCTCCCACCCCGGCGCCGCCCATCGCCGGGGCCGGGCCGGCGTCGCGGCCCCGTGTTGACACACGCGCCGGCCCTGCCCCCGGCGCCTCCCCGAGGTCGCCCGGTGGAGGTCGCCCGGGCGGCGGAGGCCGCGGCGCGGCGGCGCTTCCCGGTGAGGGAGGAGACGGCCCCGGCCCTCTGCCCCGACGGGCCGGCGGGGTCGCCCCGCGCCTCGGCAGGCCCCGTCCCTGCGGAAAGTTTTCCCCGAGCTGTTGGCTGCCGACCCCGAGCCGTGGGCCCAGGCGGCGGGGGCGACCGTGCCCCCCGGCCAGCGCCGGGCTGGCCCGCCCGCCGCGCCGCGCCCCGCCCGCGGCCGTGCCCAGCTGCGGCCGGCCCGGGCACACGCGCACCCGCGCGCTCCGGGAGCTTGACAAGGAATTTAGAACTTGTTCCAGGTACTCTCCCTACCCTGCCGTTCCCCTGCTTCTAACTTTTGAGGTTGTTTCTGTGGCTGTTTTGTTTTTAATAATTCTGTGAGGAAAGTGTAGATTTATTCCCTCCGCTTTGTGAGAGAGGACGGGCTGCATAATTTGGCTTGCTCTATTTAACCGAACCGCAATACGTGTTGGTTTCACCGTTCTCAGATCTGGTTGTGGATTCTAAGCAGTAATTTCTCGTAAAAATTAATTTTCAATCACCTGTGTGTTTTGGGCGTAATTCTGCAGGCATGTCTGAGTAGCGCCGGGTATGTAGGGTTGTATTTGTGGAGCGGTGACGCTATTTTCTAATGCCTCGGGGGAGGAAACTCCGCCGGGCTGTGCTTGTGCAGCACCTTCTGCAGCCGGACCTGGCCCTGTCTCACGCTCCCCTGCCTGGCTCTGGTTTGGTGCGTCTGACAGGGCGAAATAGCCCTTAAGCGATGGTGTTGCCAAAAGTTTGCTTAAGTAAATGTATCCCACTGAACGGCAGGCTACATTTCTTGAACAACAGATGTATTGAAATGTCGTGTTTACTGTGTCTTGTCCTCTTGATCTGTGTTTGCAAAGCGGAGACATAACTCATAGTTGCAGCCTCTTAGGGTTATGCAATTAACAGCATACTTAAGATAGCAGTAGCACAGTCTTTTGATCTGGAAGGAAAATAAACCATACAAGTATGTCTGGGTTTTCAAACTGGCAGGGTACTTCCTCTTCCACTCTCTCCTTACCATGTAGCATTTGCCTATATAGCAAGGCAGTGAGCTGACAATACACCTTCTTCAAGGATTACATTAGATATGTCTTAGTGAACTGAATTTTCTAACTGGCAATGCTCCAGGGTGATACTACACTTCAACAGAGTGTAATCTATCATTAATGAATCTGAACTCAAGCATGTTGGCATTTTAAAGATAATCTGTTTTGTCAGTGTAAAACACATTTACAGCAATTTTAGGGAATTCAGGGTAAAATTTTGTTTTCTCTCTCCCTGCTCCCTCTTCTTTATTAATTAGACCACTTAATATTGAAAATTTGAAAACTTAATTTTTATCTTTTCCTAATGGATGTAGTTGAACCAGTTCGAAGTACTTCATCTCTCTACAAATCTTACCTTGGTTATTACACCTTTATTGCTACACCAGACTTCTGGGCAGCAGTCACCCAGTGATGCTGCAATTACCATTACCATTTGCAGTCCTTTTTAAAAGGCAGTTATTACTTATAAGATCCTGATAGAACTCCACTAATAGTATTTTTACACATCTGCAAATCAAAACAAACATTCAAAAATATTGTCTTAAAATGTGAATGCAGAGAAGTGGAGTTTATTGAAGGTATGCAATTTAAAAACAAACCTCATACTCTCAACCTGACAGAGCATGAAGAGATTATCCAGACTTGACTCATCTGTGCAGATTGTGCATTTCATGCTGACTGCTGTGCTGAACAACATTGCTGCAGTGATTTCACTGACTGCTTCTCTGGGTTGTACAAACCTTTAAAAACACTGTTGGTGTTCCAGAGCTGTTGGTACTTTTGAAGAAAACTAGGCTTGTAGTTGGTGAGACTTGAAAAGATTGGAGATGTAGTTAGATATTTGATGAAACCTATTGACTATATATTTACTGTTCCTTTTTACATGGGTAAGTCAAAAACCTTACGAAATTTTATTTTATGAGATCTTATACATGCTACGTGCAGTTGAAAGTACTCTTTAACCAAGCAAGCTGGAGAAAGAAAAAGCAGTTCAAAGTCAGTGTGAAATAAAATGAGGAACTTGTTTGGCTCGGGTCAGTTTTTGTTGTACTTGGAAATGGCTGCAGCTAGGCAACTCCATTTGGTGAAAAAGAGATGTGTGATTTAGTTTGACTTCTTTCATTACAGGAGTCATAAAATCTTGTTTAGTATTTTCTGCATCATCTCCTTAACTTCTGTCTTGAACCAGTTATTAAAAAAAAAAATATGCCCTTGAGAACTAAAAAGTCTGTTTCTTCCCCCCCCCCCCCCAATTTTCTTTTTTTTTTAAATTAAAACAGATCATAATCTGGATTTTTCTAGCTTCAGCCTCCAATGATCAATATCTTCATAATCTGTATTTTAAATAATTCTTAGAAACTGAAATGATTATGAGTAGTAAAAAAGGGAAAGGTTTATAGTTACTGGGAGGAAGGGTAGAAAATGTATGATGTAAAACTGCTTTTCCTCTTCTATAAATATTACTCTGTTGCTGTTCTCTGAAGCAATGTCTCACATGTAGCTAGGTAGTAATAGATAAGAGTTTTTCTAAGTTATTCAAGAGATATTTCACCATTCAGTCATTTCCATAGTATTTGTTGCCATGGGAGCTAACCAGTGACCTTATTAATGATTTAGGTGATTGCACCTTGTTTTTTGACTTGGGGTACTGAAAACTGTGTCTGAGCTACTGTAAGAAACAGATATTGTACGAAGACTGCAGTGAGTTGTTTCTGTGAAGAGACTGAACTGTTTCTGTCCTAGGACTGAAGTTGTAGAACGATGCTTTATATCTCTTATCATGCATAGTTTTGTGTAAAATGCTTCATGTCTCCAAGCTTGCTAAATATTTGCAATAAATGTACTACTTCTACCATATGTTTGAATCAAGAAACCCATTAATTGAACAAGCCCATATTTTTATGCTTGAAAGAATTGACACTTCATTTTAATTGTTAAATTATATGTTAAAAGTAGACTATAAAAAAAGCAAAGGTGAGATGGTGTAATAAGAAACAGCGTAATTTTTCTCACTTCCTGGCCTCAAACTGTAGTTATTTTCAGTTAGAAAATAGATAGAAAATCAATTGTAATCTGCTCATAATTGCCTTTCTGGTAGAGTTATGAGGCATTTCACTCCCTCTTCTTTCCCCTTTGCCCCATTCCTTTTTTTTCATACTTTTTTTTCCCTCACTGTGTGTATTTTTTCTTCTGTATGTCTTGTGGAGTAGGCAGATCTCCAGACCTAGAGGAGATTTTTCATTGAAAAGCTCTTAATCTTTAAATGTTTTTGTGTAACAGCCTGAGGCTCTGTCAAAAAGCATGTTCCTTACCAAGTTGTTTAGTGATGAGCAGAAATTGACGGAGGTTTTTGTAACCTTGGGGCTTTCTGCTTAGATGAACCAGGCATTTCTCTTTTACCTATCAGGATTGATTACTTCAGGTTAGATCACATGTCTTATGTAAAAAGCTTAGCTTGCACTGCCAAAAATCCAAATTGCTTTTTCCTTAGCATGAAGTGCTGGGTTTGACATTTGACACTGACTTTTCACATTCTGCTAGGGTGTTGTACTGCTCATTAAAGAATTATTTTAGGGCTTTGGTCAACTCAAGATCCATTCATTCTTGAGTTATAGCTGCAGAATGAGAATGCTTTGAGAGCATACCTGAATTTTATGAGTTGTACCTCTGCTCTCCTGACTTGAAAGGTCCAGACGAGATGTTTTCAAGGTTTCCCCTGGGGAGTAACGTAGCTCACCCTCTGCAACTGTGAGATTCATCGTTCTTCCAGGTTTATGTCACAGCAAGCACCAGACTACCTCTCCTGATGTCTTGACCATTTTAAGGTAATATGTGCTTGATTTATGATACCAGTGTAACACTTTAAAATTTGACATACGTCATCCTACTTCCTGAAAGAGTGGGTGTCTATTTATGTATTTATATGTACATATGTGTGTGTACAGATAGAGGGATACAGAATAGAATTCTAGACCATCCCAGGTTCTGCTGTCCTTTAAATATAGAAACCTTCTCTGTGCTCATAAATGTAGCTCTCAATACCTCTGTTTTAGACCAGAGTGATTTAATTCTAAATTCTTTCAGGATAAAGATGTTCTTTGCATAAAATTTCTGCAGTATTATACAAAGTATTTAAAATGTATTCTTCAGAGTGAATAATGAGGAAACTAAAGCTTTATTCAGAAGGAAGGATTTTACTTTATGAGAAGTTGGTATTTTGAGAAAAGAGTGGGTAGAGAGGAGGGAGGGGCAAGACATTCAGTGGATAGGAGTACAGAAAAGTTTAATGGATGTTATTAATCCTCCCAGTGGAAGAAATAGAGTCGCTTCTTTTGGTATGAAAGGAATGTTTTGGGAGGTGGTTGAAAGTTGCAGAAGAGTGCCAGAGAATGGAGAATCGGTGAAGCTGGAGGTGTTCAGTAAATGTGACACAGGTTATTGCAAATACCTGAAAAGCATTTTGCTTGCTCTGAGTAGGTAAAGCTCAGAGTCTGGGGAGCATCTTAAAGAGTAAAATCCTTGAGCCCTTTACTGCTTGACATGATAATTCCTAAATGTCCATTTGTATGAACCATGCTCCCGTATGAGCTGTAAAAAGTAATGTGCTAAGTTGTGAAATCAATGAATCAGTCCCATGAAGCTTTGAAGTTGTGTGATGTACTGAAAATTTCAGTGTTGCTATGACTTAGACCTTTTATTTTAGGATTAATGAAATTTGGTGGTTTGGCAGAGGTTGTCTGGAAAAGGGGCAGATTGCATTTCCTTTAGCAGAAGCTACTTTCCTAGTCTACTTTTGTTCTTTAAGCTGTTAACACAAGTAGCTGGTACCTCATTCTTCATCTCTGTGCTCTCATAGTTGCCGTTATAGTTAGTGCCTTGACTCTCAACAGGTCTCTTCAATCCTTTGTCATCTGTAAAGCTAATGTTTGAATTGCTGAGTTATCTGTCTTTCCAGATTCAATACATGGCTTCATTATTGATGAGACACAGTTCTCTTATAAGAATGCCATAAACACTTACGTGGAGATCTCAAACTTTGTCTTAGTGGAGAGCCTTAGAGCCTCATAGCTTGCAGAACATCCCCTAAGGCTTTTCCACCTTAAAACATTCAACTAATGTGGAAATCTCAGATGATTTTTCCTTCAGCAGAAACTCCAATACATGCTATTTGTAATGCCACATACACCTCTGGAAATGGCTTGTTCTGGCTAGGGAAGGAC